TTCAGCCTTGTTCCATATCTCAGCTACGCTTAAAAAATCATTAATATCTACGCTACGCTTAGAATAACGTTTAGTAATTCGACGTGGTGTAATGGTTATCAAGTTTATCTCCTTAGAACTGTAATAGTGGGTTCGATCCTCACTGGGTGCCCATACTTTCGTCTTTGGGCCACGTCTAAGCTACGCCTCAAAATTCGTTTTGTGGCTACAAATAATAGCAATATTTTATCTCCTGTATCAACTTCGTAAAAATTGTGAACAAAAAAATCTACAAAACTATTTTCAGAAAAAGAATTACTAATTAAAGTTACAGAGAAAGAACTGGTAAGCGCACGAGCAAATAAATGAACTTATAAGAGAAATAAAAATAATAACCTGTTCCTAGAGAACGATCTACTAAGCCTTCGGAGAAATAACTACAAACCGCCTTGAGAAATAACTACGACGTATTTCCCAAAAAAAATAACAAGGACGCTTTCCCTAGAGATAGAGCAGCTAAGTATACAAGTTACCACGTCCTGTCTACCAGGATACTTCGCCTAACGCCCGCTTGGTAGTGTGGTAATATGCAGTATAAAGGGAAAGGACTTGCGCACTCTTTCTCTTTTGCTCACTTAGTCACGGAATATGGTAGATAGATGTGTCCAGTCCGGAGGAGAGGACAGCAACAGGCAAGTTGCTGACTTCTTAATTTCAACCAAAGCACGTGGCGCACTCACAAATACGCTAAAGTTAATGAAGCAAGTATATTTTTCTCTCCACTTTTGAACTATGTTTTCTGTATAAAAAATATTTATAAAAATCCTCTACACGTTGAATTCATTTATATTGACATTTCTCAATCTTACCATTACAATTAATAACAGCCGTTTGCTACAAAATAACAGCAATGCACTTCTTAGAGAAAGAACTAAAATGCACCTCTTAAAAAATAATTAAAATGCACCTCTTAAAAAATAATTAAAATGCACCTCTTAAAAAATAATTAAAATGCACTTCTTAAAGAACTAAAATGTACTTATTAGAGAAAAAACTAAAATACACTTCTTAGAGAAAGAACTATAATGCACTTTTTAGAGAAAGAACTAAAATGCACTTTTTGAAGAATTAACTAAAATGCAAGATTCCCTTCGCTATTCGTTATGTTTGCTGTCGTCCCATTGTTTTATAGCAACAAGAGGTAATACCAATAAACAGTGCGCTGTCAATTTCGTGCTCTCGAGTGCATTTTTGCAGCTATCTTCTCTAAGAAAAAACAATACGTTCCTATCACCCAAAACAGGACGCTGCTGAAATTTACAACTGAAAATCAATCCGTAATTTTTTACATTTTCTTGTTTCTAGCATTTATCTAACAATTAAGAAAAGTATCTTCTAGGTATCCAACTTCAAGTGATGGTAAGGAAACTAAGCTGGTAATTAATTCAGTGAGTTCGATCCTAGCAAATGCTAATGTTTTATGCTTGACTAAGCAACGTTTACCATTAACAGTCGCATAATTTTTTGTCATTTTAATACGTACTCCGGTGCTAATCGAAAAATCGATATTAATGAGTTAATTCTTGATCGGATATAAGTGCCGTTGTAGACCATTGTGAGTTGGATCTTCATCGAGTGAAGACCAATGCCTAGTAGATGTCTATCCTTTCTCTTTTTTCTTTCTTTCTTTTTTTCTCTTCCCCTACATTCTCCTCTTCTTAAATTTCTTTTACATTCTTTGTCTTTTCTTCGACTTCTGTCTTCTTCTTCTTCTTCTCTTTCTCATCCACTTCTTTCTACTTCTACTCTTTCACCTTCTTCGGCACCTTTTTCTCTTCCTCGTGCATCTTCTCTTCCTTCTACGCTGCTTTTTCAACCTTTACCTACTTCACATCACATGTAACACAAAGAGAAAATAGGCTTACAGCAACATCACGTTGAAACACCGGTTCACGTGCGATCACTGAATTTAAGCATCGTCGAGCCCGGTCAGTACCTAGATGAGTGACCTAGCACTGTAAGCCTGGATGTGCGGATGGTGCAATGGATAATGGCTCGGAATTGTTAATTGGAGAGCCGAGTTCCAATTCCAGTTGGGTTCGTTATATTCGCTTACGCGCAAATACTCTTGAGAAAGGTATGAATCCACCGCTTCTCCCCACCCCCAGCTATGTGTTAATTAGTAAGACTTGTATCACTAAACCATTATTATCTCCAAAAATAAAATAAACTGTGTACAAAATATATTTAAATTTCGGCATTAAATAACCCATAGAGGTGTTGATATGCCCCTAAACAAAAACAGCCAAACCAACCAACCAAAATGTTCGATTGCGTATTTTTCACAAATTTTCTCTTGTATATTACTTTTGCTTGTTTACAAATACTAAATTTATCAAGTTTCATAACTGTTATCATTGAATTTCAAATCTTCATGCATTGTCTCCTTCACCAATTAATGCCTATAAATGCCCATCGTAAAATCCGGTATTAATTAAAACAAAAACTCTGTATTAATTACAAGTTTAAAAAATATTCATTATTAATTATAGGTTTATCAAAAATCCGGTATTTATTACAGGTTTTCGTTTTTACGAATTTAAGCGAAACGCTCGACTGGCAGCTCGATCACATCATTTTACTGTTGGAATTACTAGATGTAACCGTAAGTTCTATTTTCGTAGTTTCTTCTCTCGAACTTCGCGCCTGTGGAAGTGCTTTGCTGCCATATATGGTCTGGAGCCCCTTCTGTTTGCCTTGGTGTTCTTGATAGGCTCCACAGGCGGATATGTAATATAATTGGCCCTGATCTGGCATCTCGTCTACAGTCACTCTCTCACAGACGCGCCGTCGTCTCTCTCTGTCTGTTTAACAAATACTTTCATGGCAATTGCTCCGAGGAGCTGCATTCGCTGGTTCCCAGACTTCATGAGTTCAAGCGCCCTATGAGGCTGGCATCCTGCTCTCACCCTTTCACAGTTGAAACTGTTAAATGTAGCCACCTCTTCTACTCCAATAGCTTCATATCTCGCACCTCTCGCCCGTGGAACTCCCTTCCCTATTCCAGTTTCCCTGAGAGCTATAATCTCCAATTATTCAAATGTAATGTCAATCGACATCTCCAGTTGCCTTGATCTATCCACTACCCTTCTCCTCATCCTTTCTTCTATCACTCCTATCTGATCTTGCTCCAAATTTTCTGTAACCCCTTGCGTCCTAGTGGCTTCCCGCCTTGCTTGGGGTGAAACGCTTAAAAAAAAATGTCTATTTTTTTTAAGTTGTATTCGTTGTATTCAGAACTATATATTTTTATTCATAAAATGTTATATTTAATATTCTTCTTGGTTCTGTAGTAACGAGAACAGTGAGTTATTAAGTGTAGTTTTGATGCGACACGGGGCTGCAAGTATGGTACGACCAGTGAAGATCGAACTCACTACTCAGTCATAGTTGATCCAACTAGACGAGCTTGTTAACCATCATAACACGTTGGATTATCTGTAGCAACAAGGATAGTGTTATAATATTCGTATAAGCTTGTAGTTCTGATTAAAATATTCCAAGGAAAATACGGGAAACAAAGATTAATGAAGAAACTAATTACATGGATTAATAATACAATAATAGTGAATACTGTAGTCAGTGCGAGTCACTTTACAACCACTTGCGACTACTTTGCCACTCCTGCACCTACCAGCAGACTTTTCACTCAGTCAATGGACGAATTTGGGCACCTCGAGGCGGTGTAATTGGTCAGCAAGCTTGTCTTGCTTGAACAATTACGACCGAGTAGTGAGTTCGATCCTCACTGGGTGCTCCACACTTTCGGCCTCGTGCCACATCTAAGCTGCGGTTAGAAAATCATTTTAGAGTGTAAGCTGCTCTCCCGAGTAGTTTGTAACACATCTATTTATCATCTCTCAGTTGCGTCTCTGTCTTTGGGCAGAGTGCACTCAGGGGCGGCCCAGTCAAAGTAAAGAGTCGCAACTAAAATTATACTGAGAGATGCCCAGACCTGAGGAACAGCTGCCCGAGGCCGCGCCCTCTCATTGCACCAGAAAGAGGGATCGGTGCTCGCACCGAGGCCAGCGCAACCGACGGTAACGGAAGTTGTGGGCAATTTTTGTTCCTACCCAGGTGTACGCGTTCGGGAACCCCTCCTTAAAAAATAACCTTGTGTCACAACTCGTCTTAGTAAGGAGACAGAGTAAATACCTAGTCAATGGAGGACGAGTCTATGTTCAACAATTAGTGTAAAGAAGGTCGGTTGCCTTTCTAGACAACAAATATATTTCAGATATTATCTTTCCTGATAATATATTAACCTAAAGTTCCGCGGGATCACTCGCGAGATTGGTCTTTCTTAATATTTTGACTTGAATGTCAATTCATTAGCAATAATTATCTATAACCTCTTGTAGTATTAAATTAAAACACTCCAATATAATTCATACTCGCCAAACTTCATAAAATCCGACATATATCTATGAAACTAAAACGTGCTAATGTATCTAAAACATTCGTTTAACCGCTCTACTATCAAAATTAATGGCAGAAAAAACTTTTAATGTGGTGTGTTAATAGAGGCTATGACAAAGATATTTTAGCCCTCACCCAAGATATCTGTTATCAATACTTTTGAATGCTTATAAAATCCACAATATTCTTCGATTAGGCTGAAGACCTAGCCAGATGTGTTTTTTTCTGTTGTACGCCTAACAATGGTTCTCCATCTCAGTTGGTAAAAAATACAATAAAATGAAGGAAAACCTAAGCCGATGAAACATTTCTCTTGCCGGCATAAACAAGAACATGACAATACGAAAAAGAAAGCAAAGAGACGAAATTACGACCCCGCCAGTGTCGAACTTCGCCATTTTGGCATGACACATTCCAAGAAGAAGGGACGTGCAGCAAACTGAAACATTAACTTCCCACAAGAACGTAGAAAGACAAACAAACTGAACATTAAACGGTTGGGAAAAATAAATAGATGTGAGCGGGAAAGAACAACGCAAAAAATGCAACATCAACAAATACTACAGCTACTACTAATAATCATACGATACAAGAAGCCGAGATTGGTTCTTCGGAGTAAGGCTTGGCATCAGAACGCCAATCCCACCCTATCTTTCAAACGAAATTTCCAATCCAGTAAGCAAACGTCCTTCTTCACTACTTTCTCTGTTTTCCTACTGTTACTACTACTCTTCGCCTCTGCCTTCTCCTCCATTTCTAGTTCTTTGTTTTTTTCCTCCCTCCATCTTCCCATTCTTATATACCACCATCTCCACATCTCATGTGTTTTCTTTGCTTTTTTCTTGTTCCTCTTCGCTTTTGTTTCTTATTGTTCCACACTTTTCTTTTCCTTCATCTTCTCACACTCCTCCTTTATTCGTTGCTTTTTTCTCTGGCATTTTCTTCCGTATCGTCAGCCATTTTTCTCTCTTCTTCACGGTCTTCCTCTTCTCCATCGTCTTTCTCTTTTATACTGCTTTCTCAACTTTTGCCTTCTCATCTACCTTCTTTCCTATTTTTTCTTTCTTGCCTTCTCTCGCTTCTTAGGTTCCTTCTCTTTCTTTGGTCTTTCCTTCTCTACTACTTTCTTGACCCTTATCTCCTCTGCCTCCTTTTCTTTCTTTCTCTTGTTCTTGTTCTTCTTTGATTCCTTCTCTTTCTCTGTGTTATTCTCTTTCTATACTGCCTTCTTCTTTTATGCTATCGTCATTGTCCTCTTTTTCTTCTACGTCGATATCTCATCTTTTTTTCTGCTTTAACCCATCTTCCTCTTCTTCTTCGTATTTGCCTTCACTTTTATCTTCTGTCTCTCCTTCTCCATCTTCTACGCTGTCTTCTTCTACTCAGCTCTTTCCTTCCTTGGATTATAATTAATATAATGATATTGCTTTTATTTAAATTCATTTTCTTACTTTTTGCTTTCTTCTTCCTTTTTTTCCTATAAACATTTCTATTTCTTTTCCTTCATATTTCTCTTCCTTACTTTTTTTCTTACCCTTTATTATTTTCTTTCTTTTCATTATATTCTTCATCTTTCTTTTTCTTATTTTCTTCTTTCTCCTCTTCGTTATCTTCTTTCTCTTTCATATTTTCTTCTTTCTATTCGTTATCTTTTGCCTCCTTCTATCGTCTTCATTCTCTTCTTCTCCTTTCTCTTCATTTTCTTCTTCTTTCTCTTCATTATCTTTTTTCATCCTTCTCTTTCTTATTTTTTTCTTCTTTCTATTCATTATTTTCTTCTTCTTTTTCTTTCTTTTTTTTCTTCTTCGTTGTCTTCTACTTTTCCTCCTCTCTTTATTGTCATCTTTCTCTTCATTAACTTCTTCATATTTCGCATTCTTATTCTTCTTTCTTTTTTATTATCTTCTTCACCTTTCTCTTTATTTTCTTTTCCTTTCTCTTCTTTCTCCTCTTCTTCCCTCTCTTCTTCTCCTGCTTTTATTATTTTCTTATTCCTCCTCCTCTTCTTCTACAAATATTCCTAGTGAGCTTGATTTCTACTTTTTCTTCTCTTTTTCTTTCTTTTTCTTCACTATATTCTGTACTTTTTGCTTTGTCATATTCCTTCTTCCTTTTTTTTTTCTCAATGTTCTCTTTCCTTGTCAATTATAATAGTCCCTTTCTTCTCATCATTTTCATCTACGCTTTTTTTCATATCCATTAACGGTCCTTCTCTATCCTCCTTTTTTAATTTTTTGCTCTTTCTTCATCGCTCTCTTCATCGACATTCCTCTTTTTTTCTTTTTCTTCTCTTTTTTCTGAACATTTTTCTCACGTTTCTTTCTTCACCATTTCGTTGGTTTCTTTTTTCTTCTCTTTTTCAGCCTTTTCTTTTTCCTACTATATTCTTGACCTTCGCTTTTCCTTTGCTCTCGTTATTTTCTCCATTTTATTTTTGTTTTGTCACTCCTTCTCACAACCCCCACCCGCTTTCTACAAATACGACTCCACTCACACAGAAAAAATAATAAAATAACTCCTTAGGAATCTTGTTTTCGGCATCCGACGCATGTCTTTAGGATGATGGGTCTCTTTTTGCCCTTTGACATTTCCCGGCTGACAGCTTGTACACATCTTCCCAACGCCCAAACTTCTCAGACCTTCATATGATACCAATTGATTGCAGAGAAAACTTCGTAGGGGTTGCCATTTATAGGAACTGTTTCTGCCTCTTTATTATTGTTATTCGCAAATGTGTGAGGACTTCTTCAATAGTGACAAAACCGTTTTTATCTACAAAACACATACATACGAATTGCACTGTGTAATTTGCACCGTGTAATTTTACAAGCATTTTATTATCCTGGGTATGACGCTAAACTACATCCGCGTCCTGGGTAAGACGATAAACTACATCCGACAGCAAGGCCTCTGATCAGGAGGTTTTGAGGAGCGTGGAACCACCTCTTAATTGCTGGTGTTCCCAGGTCCACCCTGACCCGGAGTGGTAGCACCTGTTAGGGTTCTAGCTATGGACAAATTCTTCGGGTGATTGAACTCACCCAGTGGATAAAAACGTTGGTTAGATCCAGTGACTAAACCCAGAGAGTTGTGATTTCAATACCAGGCCACAGTAGTGGTGAACCAAACTTAGAGAGATGCGTTAAAGGGAAATAACTGAGACATCCGGAAGAGGCATGGCACGTGGAACTAGAACAATCTACCCTGGTAGACTAAATAAAGGGTTCGGTTCGAAATTCCAATCACCTGAAGAAGGCCGTTGTGAATATGGCAATGAAGATGGGGATAACAGGCCGAATAATGTAAATAATGATTTTTCGAATATTCAAGCCAGTAGAAGAAAATAAATAAATATGCTATTTAATAAATAAACGGGGTGTCTACTCAAATAAGAGTATCCACTAAAAATAATGTTTAAAGTGATACAAATCTGTTGGATTAATAAAAATCCTTTACTGCTTTAAAAAATTATTTGTATGGGAAACAACATATGTGATAATTTCAAGGAATCTACGAAGAAAAGGATTTTGCTTAAAGGCACTGTTCAGACACTGTTTGATCGGCAAAAGCTTCTTCGTAGCCGAGTCGGTTAAGGCACGTCGGATATAACGTCGTTAGAGGCTAAGTGATAATTTGCAGTATCACAGATAAATGAGAACCCTCTGCTACATTTTTATTTACAGTTATATTTCTTCAAAATAAGAATATAGCAGGATTTTAACTTTTAGTGGAATATTACACAATCAAAACGTAATACTGCCATGTATTATTTATGATGTAATTAATATGCATACACCTGGGTTCCCCTTCACAGTAATATGATTGGCTGGTGTCAGCCATAAATACAGACTGATGTGGAGGTACAAGAAGGATACCTATTGGCTACGCCTATTGCCTACTACTACGACGAGGACCAATCCATTACGGTTACCTGCTAGATTGTCCTACCCGGTTACAATAGTCAGCAACCACTTTGCTACTTCGAACAAATATATCCCCTTCCGGGACATATCAATCTATGACTGAACAATACAGCATTAGAAATCTGTTACAAAAATGTGAATATTTTGCCATCTAAAAATGAGTACACCTCTCGGAAAAAGGTTTACTTAAAAATCAATATTTTGTGTGATCACTTTTGTTTTCTATTACTGCTTATAGTTTTATCGAGGCTGACTTCAGTAGTTTTATAATGGCGTGGGGTTTAGGGGATAAATTGAACAGTTGATTTACCCACGACAAGAAGATTAATGAAAGATGATAATAACGAGGAAACACATGGGTAATTTTAACAAAACAAAATAAGGAATTTATACACAAATTTACACGCTTCAAGTAGCGCCAGTAGCTCGTTTCGGGAAAATAAATCAGAAGTTTTAAATCTATAAATCGTAGTTTTAAGATATTGCCATGAAGACGAAATGTTCATAAAACAGATTAAGTGATCTGACACAAAATAATACTCAAACATGTTTACGACACAGTTAAGAGAGTTCGTTGGCCACAGACATATAGCTGCACACGTTCAAAAGTAGATGAAGAGAGATAATTTGAAATACTTAGCTTTCTTGAATTGTTGAGAGCGAATTCTTTGAAGAACCGTGTGCTTGGTTAGAGGCCGATAATATAATTGGCGATTAATTTTACACTGGCGTGAACTTCGCGAGGAACTGGAACGAAACCTCTCAAATAAATTCAGACACTCTCTTCATATTAATTTAATTTTTCTCCTCATTTTATATCAAAAAGAATTTCACGTAGGCTCACGAATTTATTTCCTTCTTTTTCTTGGCTGACCGGCTAATTTCTGTGAAAGCAAAATTTTCATTAGTCCAAAAACGATTTTACATAGGCGCACGTATTCCTTTCCTTCTTCTTGTCAGCTCATAGTCAATTTCTATGAAGGCAAGATTTTCATTGGTCCAAAGAAAATTTCACATAAGCTTGCCAATTCCTTTCCTTCTTCATATTCAGCTATCCGAATTAGAAAGGAGAGAGTTATAATTATCATTTAGCACTCATTACAGTTACTGGAATATTTTCGATTCCGGCTGAACGCATTCTGAGTTTGAAATAGACAAGCGACCAAAAATAATGATTTTTTACTTCTATTTTTTCATATTATTACAGATTCAGCATTCTATATCACGAATATTAACAAAAATATTAAATTTTATAAAATTTAATATGGGGGTCTAGTTTATAAATTAAACTGACCCCCCCCCACACACACACACACACACACGAAACAAAAACAAAAAAATATACTAAAACCACATGATTTCTTAAAATGTAAAAAATAAAATTTGAAATTCGTAGTTGTTTTTTTCACTGGGGTAGGCTGTTCTAGTTCCTTGTGCAATGTCTAATGGATATCAGTTATCTCCTGTTAATTCACCTCTCCAAGTTCGCCACTGTTTTAGCCAGGTATTGAACTCAAAACTCTTGGGGTCCTGTCACTGGATCTTACCAACGACTTTATCTGCTGTGCCATGTCTCCTTAAGGATACATATAGACAGATACAAAGCATTCCAGATTACGAATTTCAAAAACATCTTTTTTTTTTCATTTTAAGAGATCACGTCGTATGAACTTATTTTGTTTTTACTTCCGTAGGGAGATCAAATTACAATCAATTTACATAGTAATTTTTTTAAAGTTTGTGATCTCAAGTACTTAATCTGAAAAAAAAAAAATGGTCGCAAAGCTTATTGTACAAGTCCATCACATCAGTTATCTTCTGTTAATTCCCCCCTCCAAGTTCTCCACCGCCTTAACCAGGTATTGAACTCACATTCTTTGGATCCTGTCACTGGATCTAACCAACGCCTTTATCCACTGTACCATGTGTTCAGTTCGACATTCCAACCACTTGAAGAAGGCCGGAGCGTATAACGGCCGAAACGTTGTAATAATTTATGGTGACAAAGATAAGGACAATAGTCCGAATAATGTAAATAGTGTACATAATACCTCATCTCAGAAATATAGACAGATAGTGATTTTGATGTTTGTAAACTAATTTGATGTCATTAAAAAACAGGTCATCGTTTTTCCTGGGCATTTTCCAGTAATAATGAGTGCATCGTCATTTACGGTAGGTTGCAAATGCCTCAGTGCATATCATACTACAGTAGAGCCGATTTTTGTTTCACTTAACAATGTCCCAATTGAATATTTTTTTCTTTATTTTATTGTGCAAACTTTAAATAAAACTCTTTTCATATCAATTTTAACTGAGTTTTTCTGTGTGATTATCAGCTGTTCTCTTTTAATGGTGCATATTAATTATTGTAG